TAAATGCTCTGGATTGCCCTGAAAGAGCCTGCCTCTCTGCCTTGACTTTACTCAAGAGAAAAGATCAAATTAATCCCTGTAAGAACTGTATCTTACAAGCGCAAACTTAAAAAAAAATCCCATATGCATGGACGTGGTTTCTAACAGCAGGCAGTCCTTGAACTCCCACAAAAATTGTCAGAACAGATAGAAAGTGAACCACTGCCCAGTTCAAGTAGCTTCACTTTTAAAACATGTAGCAGATATATGTTTTGAACCAAAGTATCATGGGGATGTAATGGGATCTTTGAACTTTAAACTCATTAAATTAGGAACACCACTCTCCCATCCCTAAAATAAAATATAAAATTAAAAAAATAAAGTAAAATTAGCAAGATTACATCATTCAATTGTTTTCATTACATTACACAGTGGTCTAGATTACACTATAGCTAGTTATCCAAAGGCAATATAAAATCTAGCAGAGTGGTTATGTAAAAAGTCGTAACAGAAGATCGTAGCATTTGTTTTTTGCCTTCAAATCTATGGATTGATGAATCCACCTGTAAGGGATGAGCAAAACCCTGTTCTTCACCTTCAAGGTGTTTTTGTTTTAAAGAAATAGTACTAATAGCAGTAAATTTTATATAATCACTGTAAAACTTCAGCAAATCTCTTACAGGTCCTGAACAAACATACATCAAGAGTATGATATAACTTAGAAGTGACTGGGAAAAAAAGACAAAACAAACAAACAAAAAAGCCAAAAACCAAAACAAAATGAAAGGAAACAAAACAAAACCACAGAAACCCACAGAACAACCAGAGCAGTGTATGGAAATTTAGTGAAATCAGAAATACCTACAATTGAATAAAACCCATCATGGAAATTTTTAGCAGTCATGTAGGGGGTTACCTCCACAGGCTGCTGTAACTAAGCTTCTCCCTCTCCTCGAACACTTCCTATGTTCCCCCTGCTTTTTTCTTTAAAATTTCTGCCTTTGCTTTGTAGTTGCTATACTATCTGCTGTCTGGTGAAAACTCAGTGACCCTACCGCTCTTTCTTGCCCAACATAACAACAATCTTCTGCTTATTGCATAATCTTCTTCTTTTTTTTTTTTTTTTTTTTTTTTTTTTTTTTTTTTTTTTCCATTTGTGTTCCTTTCTAGATTATTCTTGTTAAATGCATAGTCTCTACTATTGTAACTGATGTTCCTTTTTGGGATTTTGATAAGTGAAAAGAGAACTATTGTTTTTCCCTTTGTAATGATGATGAAAATAACAGTGAAGTAAAACATTATCTATAAAAAGTATCATACAGCAAAAGATACTGTGAACATTCAATCATGCACTTTTATTCAAGCATCTGTGGGTACGTGCAAATTTGTGTGCACTCCAGAAAAGGATGTTGAATTAGAAGTGATTAGTTGGAGTAATGCACAATAAATGTCTGTGTTTTATGTTCATGCTACATTTATAGTTCTCACAAAGGCAGCATTTAGGGATTTAACTTACCATTTCGCATCACTCCAAAACTGCATTTGTTTCTGAGAAATTAATTTGATGTTGAAACCAGAAGCTGAATGCAGGTCTACCTATAGTTGTGCTGATCCTTACTGTGAAGTATAACAAAGAGACTAGGAGTATGGAATGGCTGTAAAGATTCCTGTGCTTAGAAAAACATCAGGTACTGCCCTTAATCTGATGAGTCATTTTGCTGTGGCCTTTTGGGGACTGCATGTGGCTCTACATCCCAGAGGTCAGCTATGTTTTATTGAGGATCTGTGCAGTGTTCTTACACTGTACCTAGGATCATAAATAGGATTAGTCCTGCTGTCTGTCTGAGATGTAAATAGTGCATCAGGGAAGTTCTTAGTTGGTATTGTGAGGTTTCATTTTTCTTCCTTGCAGAGAAAATCACAGTAAGATTGAAGGCTGGCTGAGTTGCCAGTACTGTCCATCACAGTTCAGGTCAGTCTCCACAGTTCAGACACAGTGAACTGACTTATTACTAATGTCTTCTACATCCAAATATGTCATTGGGAAGTGAATGTACTGTGGTATGTTCACATTACCTTCCAGTCCTTTCCTGATATCAGCATGTGTTTTGCTAAGCTCAATTGTTTTGTGGCTTGATGGTGTCTATGAGACAAGTGGAACATGGGGTTTAATGCAGTTTTGCTTTGGGATTGCTTTGGGATTCTGTTGCCTTGTGTCATTGGGCCAGTAGGACTACTGGTGGCAGCAGATAAATTCCTTGAGGACAACAGGGTTTTCTCGGGACTTGCATAGGCTGGGAACAGGCTGAGAGCAGCTGCTGGCTTGCTTTAGCTCACTTGTACTCATCAAGAAATTTGTATGCATAAGGGACATACAGAAGGGCCATTAATATTGAAGATTTATTTGCTTTCTTCTATATATAAAACTTTGCTGAGGCCCTGTGTGCTGTACTATGCATTCTGTGTGTATGCATTACAGAATCATAGGAATGGATATGTATGCCTCTTATTAGAAAGAAATGAGCTATCTGCATGTCCTCCTTTTTCAGGTAGGTGTTCTTTACTGCAGTCAGATAATTAATCCAAGAACCTCCAAGTTGATGTGTTGGTATTGATTGATAGCACAGCATTTTCTAGAGCTGAACTATTAAAAAAGGGTATGATAATCAATATATACTGTGATCTGAATACAGTATGTGCAAGTACACAAGAAACAGAAGCATTTTTATTAAAGGATTACAATGAAGATACACAGATTGCGTAACATCTTGATACTTTCTCCACAGCACTGCCAGCGAACATCCATGTCTTTTGATAAACAAACAGGGCATTTAACTTATTTTTTCTAATGTTCTGCTAATAAAATTTGCTTCCTCATATCCTTAGACCATTATGCCTACAACAACATTAGTCCTACTAAAAATATTTACAGTCAGGTTGCTCAATTAATTATTGGACTGTAGAAGCCTAAAATATCTTTTCAAATTTTAGGCTGTTGGCAAGTCAAGGGATTTTACCCATGAGCTTTGTTACATTCTTAGTACAGAAATGATGTTTTCAGCTCATTATGCAAATTCTGTAACAGCTAAGGTACTTCAAACTAGACATTAAACTATGACCTTAGTTTTCTTCCTGATTTACTCTTGAAGACTTTTCCAATACTTGTTCACTGTATTTCAGCTTCCTGTATGTTAGCATGATAGATTGTTCAGATCTTGCTAGAATCAGTGCTGTTAGACAGCTCTAATTAATTTGCATCTCTTCTTTAGTTTATGTTCTTCTCATTAAATAATACTGCTGTGTAGTGCAAAAGAACACGTCCAATTTTTTTTCAAGTTCCTATCCCATGCTTTTTTAAAGTTAGAAGATGACAGATCTGGTTTAAACTTCAGTGATGACCATGAGAAAATCTTGCTAGACTAATACAAAATTAAATATGGAATCTCCATGACAGCATGGCAAAATTTTCAACAGAAAATGGAAAAAAGGCACTTCTGCTATGTCTAGTTTCATATTATGCTGATATACATATTTAGCCACATCACACTGAAACAAGAAACAAGAATAGTATTACTTCAATTTTACAACTCACAAGGATTCGGCCTTCAGTCTTTATTACATAGTCCAAGGCAGAGACAAATGATTTCACACTAAAAGCATATACTGTTACACAGATTTTAACAGTGAAAGTAAGAAATAAATAAGAAATAAAAAGAAGAAAACCCTGTTCCATAGAGTTGTATTTTAGGTACACTGCCCCGCTCCCCCACTTAACTAGTGATGGTTTATTTACAAAGCAAGTAACAAACAATGGCTAGAAAATACTATTGCACCACAAGTTATCTACATGGATATCTCTATTTTCCATACTAAAAACCAGATAGGATGACATTTACTAGGATGATATTTACTTCAGTACGATGTTTCTTTCATAAATCTTCATGTGTATTACTGGCTAACACAAAATGGAAATGCAGACTGTATTAAGTTAGTAAGAAAAACAAACGTGTTTGGTTAATTATTTCTATCAAAATGTAACTTTTCTTTTAAGTCAGCTCTGATTTGCTAACTCTTCCAAACACTTCACACAGGGACTGTTGTTAACTTCCAAGTTTGAGATATTGCTGATAGGGCAGCTGAAATTTGGGAATCTAAAGAGAATTCACTGGTTGCCTGTGCCAGCTCTGACAAGCTTATAGCTGTACATCTATTCACACTGGAGTTTACAGTAATAAAGTCAATGCTTTTTTGGGGATAATTCTACCAATAACAGCATGGGATACTTTCATTTATTCTATTAGGTGAACTGATACTTCATCATTTTGATTGTAAAAGTCTAGTTCTTATATGAAAAGAGAATGGTGTTGCTTGGAGTTTGGTTTTTTTTTTTTTTTTTTTTTTTCTGTAAATGATCACTGAAGGAAATATTTTCCCTTTGAAGTTATGGAACATGCAAACTTTATAAGTGAAGAACTCTTGAATTTCCAACATGTTGTTCTAGATGATCCTGCGAGACTTTGGCACACAAACAACCTACACAGAAAACACCTCTACAAAAAAATTTTATGTGTAAATCAAGTACCCGACTTCATTTCTATTACTTCCTGTCCTTAAAAGCTTGACAACCTTTTTTTTTTTAAAGTTGTCTGTCTTTTGAACTTTTGTTTCCAACCTGTTTAACACCATTGTAACTTGCCAGAGCATATCAGGATAGCTTTGCTTTTAGACTAACAGATGTATTCCTGGTTAATATGACTGTTTTGAATAGTGGAGCTTGGAAAGCCCCCATACCTCTTGGCTGTAGCCACTGAGTTTCATGCTTCTGTTACGAGCAATGTAGAAGTGCTGCAGAAGCAGTTTTTGACAGACTGGAAAAGCAGGCACTTTCCTCTATGTTTATTCTTTTATCATTGTTTTTATTTCTTTTTTTGAGGGAAAGCGTATCCTATACCTTCCCATAGCGGACTGCACAGAAACACTGGTTTGTAATTGCTTTCAGAGCTATACTGCAGCAGACCCTGTCACGGCAGTGGGGTGGTTTCAGCTTCTTGGAGTTCCAACTGAAAGGAAAGAAATTGCAAATACAATGAGCAATTACTTGATTTATGCCCACGACCCCCCACCAGTTTGTGTTTACAGTGTGTGTTTTTTTAAGAGGTGTTTACATCTCATTTGCAGCTATTACCCTGCCCTGTAAAGCTGAGCTGGTAGCCCAGGCAGCAGGGTGAGGATGAGTCTTTGTCATAATACAACAAGGTAGAGAGAATGGTAAGAGAGAAATTTTGTGTCTGACCTTTAATGACACAGAAATGGATCTTCAGTGCTGTCATGTTTGCATGAGAGTCTGTTTCATAGCTGTTTTCCTTCTAGATGAGAACCCTCCGTGAGTTTCACTTGTAGAGAAGGATTTTACTCACTCCCTGTATTCTTTTGTAGCAGTTGCAGGGAAGCTGTTATTTTAGATGCTATGTTAGCATGCTTTCTGTGTTCACATCAGTAAATTGGCTAACTCCTGGATTTGAATTTAAAAATCCAGTTTACATTCTGTGTGAGATAGAGTTAAATCAGGAATTAATCACAGCCATCCCTTTGCCCTGAGTGCCCGTAGTATCCATACCTATTCATGTACAGGCATGATATCAATACAGAAATTTTCACCAAGAAAATCTGCTTACTATACATCGCATCCTGAAAACCTGCAACCCTTTTACTGCTCAGCAATCAGAAATTGTCAAAAATAGGGAGATATTGTAAGTAAGGTGTTTATTTATGGAAAGCAGAGTCACAGATGAACTGTGAAGAGAGGGCAACGTGTTGCATCTGTTTAGGGATTTTGGAGTGAGGAGAAAGTTTATTTTCTAACTGCTCTGTTTTCCAGGCACTTTCAGAAGTGACATCTGTTAGGAATACTAATTGGAGATAAATTTATCCAAAGCCAAAACACAACTTAAATGCTTGTTCAATTCAGCATAATATATTTAGGGGCTTTCTTTATTCTACATTGAGAATGTTCCTCCTCATCAACTTTTTATTAGAAAATGACTTGATTTCGAATCTGAATATCTGTCTTTTGGAGAAGTCCAGTCCAGAATTGAATTTTGAAGCTAATTTCACTTCTAAGTTGAATCACCTGCTGGAAAGGAATTACCTGCTGGAGAGGAACTCTGCAGAAAAAGACCTATGTGTCTTGATGGGCAACAGGTTGGCCATAAGCCAGCAGTGTGACCTTATGGCCAAGAAACCCAGAGATACCCTGGGCCAATGGGGTGCAAAAGTGTGGCCAGAAGGTCGAGGGACCTGATCCTCCCTCTCTTCTCTGCCCTGGTGAGGCCATACCTGGAGTACTGTGTCCACTTCTGGACTCTTCAGTTCAAGAAAAACAGGGATTATCTAGAAGTCCAACAGAGGTGGATGGTGATGAGGGGCCTGGAAAGCTTCCCTTGTGAGGAAAGGCTAAGAAGCTGGGACTGTTCAGTCTGGAAAAGCCCTGAGATGGGATCTTATAAATGCTTATAAATATCCAATGGGCAGGAGTCAAGTGGATGGGGCCAGACTATTTTAATTGCCCAGTGACAGGACAAGGGGCAAAGGGCACAAACTGGAACACAGGAAGTTTCATATGAACATGTGGAAGAACTTTTTACTGTGATGGTGATAGAGTGCTGGAACAGGTTGTCCAGAGATATTGTGGAGTCTCCTCTGGAGACATTCAAAACCTTCTTGAATGCTTTCCTGTGTGATCTTGCTTTAGTAGGAGGCTGGAGGACTAGGTGATGTCAAGTAATGCCTTCCAACCACTACAATTCTGCGATTCTGTAATAGAATATTCAGCTCTTATGGAAAAAATGAAATGTTCTGCTTTCCATTTATTCTGACTTTCAGTTTAAGGAATGCATCACAAAAATATCCAGCCTTAGGATTGATTTAATTGGTTTCAGTCCTCATAGCATTGTTTATATTTGTAAACTGCTTTAATTAAATTGTATGGAAAACATTCTGTTTTCTCTGCTATGTAGAAGATTTATAAGGTTCCCGTGCCAGTGCAACTCAAACACAAAAGAATGTCTGGTTTTTAAGAATCTGCTAAATTAATACAAGGTTGTAGAATTCTTGACAGAAATGTTTTTTAAAAGAAATCAATATTTTATCATTGAGTACCATATTATATACAATGGACATATGCCAACTTCCTAATAACACATAGAAAGGTCCTTCTTCATTAAAACAGGTAGATGTGAAACCTGTTAAAGATTGAAGTTATAGAATTCGTACAGCTTTTTTTAGGTTTCTGCACAGGAATCACTAGTACTTCCCGTATTTGTAAGCTGTCATAGAATGCTAGGAAAACTAACATGTAAGAGAGTCCTTTTTTTTCGGTTAGTTAAACCAGCTTTTAATTTTTTCTTATTTCAACCTAGAAATAGTTTTTCTTTAGTCCAGTATCCTTTATATTTCTATATCTAAATGCTTGACTAGCCACCAGTCTTTTCTCCCTCATGAACAAGTTGCTCCACTGAGCACGTACAATTTTCATAAATCGAAAACTCATACCATCAGTGCTGTGTTTCTGGGGGATATCGGAGCTTGTTTTGTACTTTTCCTAAATGCTGATAAAACAGTAATGAAATTCTTAATCCAGAAAAATCTTTCAGCAATCTCAAAGACCCATGAAATAAGCCAAAGGAAAATATCTAAACTCAGAGTAATATGAACATTTTTGTTTGCTGTTCCTGCTTTTGCACTGATAGAAAATACGATTGTTATTTCCACAAGTGAATGCTTATCTTAGTGTGAGGCCCCAAGCTGTTCTGCAATTGAGTGCCTGCAATTCTCATTACCTTTAGCAGGAGTAAAAATTCTCACTTGGCAAAAAAAAAGCAGCTTGCAGAACAGCTGTTTCTTTGAAAATAACTTGAACTGTGTCCACAACTATACAGTTGTGCAATTAGAATTCATAGCAAATGCTCTCCAAGGTCTTATATATACAAGAGAGAGCTTATCAGTATACTTAGATCAATACAGATATGCTGGCTAGGCTTGCCTATACAGAAAGCACTTACCTGTGAAAAGAATGTCCTGTCAATAGAATTTACAGAAGCTCACCAACTGTTTGAGCAAAGTGCTTTTTTACATTTTCTGAGAGAAAAAGCTGCATTCACCCTAGGGCTTTTTCTGTCTAAAATAAATAAATACAATGTTACATTTGTCAGTACTACTCAGAGAACCTCCTCATAATAGAAGTCCTACAACCTTTCTGTCATTTTGATGATAAGAGACACCAAAAATTTTGTCTCTTACGGAAAAGTTCATTGTAGAAGAAAATATAAAAATGAAGTTTTATACTCAGCTGTGAACATGGCTTGCTGTGAATGTATTCCATCGCCTCTCCGAAGAATGAGAAATATTGCTGCTGCTAGCTGGTGTGCTGTGCCCAGGGAGTGCCACAGTAAGAAGATTCAGGTCCGATCTGGAGAGTGTGTGTGGCAGAAAGAAATCAGTGGCAGCATCTACCAAAGCAAGGACTGCTAGTTGGTAGTGAGGGAAATGATTGGATCCATTTATGGCCACTTCAAATTCTCTTGAATACCAGACTATGCAAACAGATCTATGAGACATTTTTTCATGGCCTAAGGGAAACCTGCTAGCAAGTTGGTAGGAAGTGTTACAGAGGCAGTGAAAGCTGGGAAGTCACATAGTTTCTTACGGTTGCGAACACACTTTTGTTATATGTACATAATCTCTTTGCTTCAGTTTCCTTCTTCTCTGCCTCTGACGTTATTCCTGATGTTCCCCCTTCTCTTCTGCATTCTTCCTGTCAGCTCCATTTCCCTTCAGCACCTTCCCTATCACTTCTCTTCAGTATTTTATCTCTTCTTAACTAATTCCACTGCTACTCACTGAAGCAAACGAGTAAAATCAATCAGCCAAAATTCCAACTGTGTGATTAGCTTGCTTCTTACTGCCATTAAAAAGCTAACTTCTGTCCCTACCTCAGTGCTGTCACCCTTCCTTGGTGTAGACTGTAATATGTTTCTGGGAAGGATCATCTTCTGTTCTGTGTTTGCTCTGTGCACAGCAAAATAGACTTTATTTTAATCAGCCTTTGCCATTACCATAATAATTTTTGCTAAGGGTAGAAATTTAGAAGGCTACAGCTCTGCTATAATTTATAGAAAGATTTATAAGTAAATGTTGAAGATATATGCCTCTAAATTGCACTGTAGAATGATGGATATTTACTAGGTAAAGACTGAATTCTGTTGTCAGACGTGCACAAAATTGACTCCGCTGAGGATCACATATGCACTATTGAGAGCTGAATCTATCAAATGAACTTTTGCTTCATACAATGAATACTATGTACATACATACATACATGTATTGGCCCATGATACATTTGGCCATACTGCTCCACCACTGGAGTGTGGGTAAGACTGATGACACAGTCACAGCTTTCCCCTGTGAAATCACTCCTGTTTCCAAGTGACAACCTGTTCTGTGTGAGAAAAAACATGAGTCTGAAACTGGATCAGTTCTCTGGATGATGAAGGTGAAGTCTTAATATTTTCTGTCAAAGACCAAGCAGGTGCTAACTGACTTCACAGGCCACAGCTTAGCATGTACAAATCAGGTGCTTGTGAATGACATCAACAACTGCAGATGCTTAATACACCTTATTCTTCCCCCTACAGCCTGCTTCTTCCTCTTTTTTTTTGCAATTACTACCGCACTATTGGCTTCCTGATGGCCCATGTTTGGCAAATAAGCTATTTCTCACAAGAAGCCACTGACTTCTGCATCTGAAAAAGGTGCTTAGCTTTTGGCTGAAGGGGCAACCAAGAAGCTCATGTAGGAGCAATGGAAGTATATTGCTGATGTTCCAAGAAAAAGGTGATGTGGCAAGGAACGAAGTAGGCTTGTGCCTTTCTTCTCTTCAGTGAATTCCGGAGAAGATTAAAACCCTTTCTAGTACATGCTTTGCTAGAATGCTATAATTTGCTTTTATGTTTTGCTTGATGTTCACTGAGGAATGTGGTTTGGCAACTTGGGAATCATCACAGGATCATGGATGTTAAATATGTAACAAAAGAACTTTCTTTGCAAAAGCTAAGAAAATACAGTCAGAATAAAAATGAGATTTTTGATATTTTTCTCTTGGTATCTGCTATGCTACAAAATTTCTACTCCTCAAAGGCTTTTTCTACATAGAAAAGGAATGCTCTGCACACCTTAAATGGCAAAATGGTACAACACTCCTTAACATGTATGCATATTTTTATATATATGTATATATATATCAAAACTCACACTAGTCAACACAGATAATGATCTAGCACAAGAACTGCATGCAGAAGACTTCTGTCTACTTCTTACATCTTTCCAGTAGAAACAGGGCCTTGTAGGCCTTCCTTGTATATCAATTAAAAAGTGTATATGCACAGCTTTTTCTCTTTTCAATTCACTGATGAAACAGCAGGAGAGAGAGACAGCCGTCTTATAGAAGCAAACAAGAAGTATGAATAAAGAAATCTGTGATTACTCTCCAACTTGTTCAAAACATTCACCTGTTGTAAATATTCTGCAAATGAAACACTCTGTTTTGGATGTTGTGTGTACACATACACACTGGACCCAACCACACAAGGTACCTTTGAAAGTAAAGTGCTCGGCTTCTGGGCATCAACTAGACTAGAAAGGAACCAACACCATGCATGACTGGGGTCTCTGTGTATGAATACACTGGCTTCAAATGTAGCCTCAAAGGTGTTCAGACCTTTTAATAGCTACAAATCAGTATAAACCGTAACTTCAGAATACATGTCATCTCCAAGCGGGAGGCCCGGATCCAGAGATGACATCTCCACTGCTAGTCATACCTGATGGTTAGTCCTGTCCACAGTGTTGGCAGTGGAAGCATGGTCACGAGTATTTTGTCGGACCCTTGTGGAGTTTTGCTGCTCAATGGTGGAGGAGGTAGGGATGCAGAACTCTCTGAAACACCTTTTGAAATTCTCATCTAGAAACGCATACAGGACTGGATTGAGACAGCTATTTATATACCCTAGAGCAATACAAAAGTGCCAGGACACAGTCTGGAAAGTAGTTTCTGGGATGTTGACCAGGGCTTTAATGATGACATAAATGTGGATAGGAGTCCAGCAGATGATGAACACTGCCACCACTACAAGAACCATCCTTGTGATCCTCCTCAGGTTCCTGTCCTTCTCTTTAGAGCCAGATAACATGCGGACACTCTTTAGGCGTAAAATCATCAGCCCATAGCATACAGTAATGATCAGGACTGGCATGATGAAGGCAAAGATGAACACACAGATTTTCAGTAGGTTTTCCCAGTACCAAGCAGGGTGAGAGAATGTAAGCGTGCAGTCAATAGAGCCTAGAGAAAGAAGAAAACAGCAGAGAACAAGACTGTCAGTTTTATATTTGCTTTCCTTTAAATATATATATGTTTTAAAATACTGTAAGCAAATAGATTAATTTTTATTATGTAAATAACTAAAACAAAACAATTTGATATCTGTCATTGGTTCAAGCAGCGATAGAACACAGTGTTGCAAAACATGTAGGAAGCTTCAATTAGAAAAAAATCCAAAAAGTAACATGTTCTCCTTTGCATTATATCGCTTGGAATTCTGTGTAGAATTTCAGAAGAAAAAGTTGAATTGTCATAAATGTCTAAACTTTGGCTCACTTCTGATATAAAACCTGGTGATGATTTAACCACCATATCTGCAGCAAATTTGGGCATTTCAGGGCAAAAGGGAAGAGGATGATATGACACTTGGTAACCACGCACTATGGAGTGTTTTTGATATATGTTGAAATGCTGTCATTTGAAGGAAGATCTCTGAGCACTAGTGCTCCAGAACATGCTGTGAGTTCTGTACTACACCCTGCCAGGCAAAGCTGAAAACACATAGCCATTATCTGTGACTGCCAAATTCAGCAGGAATATCTTGGGTAAAATAATGCCTTCTATGCAGTACTGATACAGTACTCCAGATGCAGCCATACCAAGGAAGAGGAGAGGAAGAGGATCTCTTGATCCACTGGCCACACTTTTTTAAAAGCATGCCAGGATACCACTGGCCCTCTTGTCCAGAAGGGTGGGCACAGATGCTTTTCCAAGCACTGCAGTAACTGTGTGGAGCAGAATCCTGGATCCAGAATCATGGATCCTGCTGGAGCTGCCAGTCATCAAAGACTGATCACATGCAATGCTGTGTCAAGTAGGTCAAGTAGGGCTAGCTGCAAAATTGTTAAAGATGGCTTTTGACATAACTTCATACAGCCTGCAGGTCATAAATTAATCCAACACCTCTACAATAAAAAGAAACAATGCAGAAAGGAGTTCAAACATCGAAATATTCAATTTGAGAATGAAAAACAAGACTTACCATGCCTGTATTTAGTAGTTGCCATAAACATAACTGGCAGACCAATGGCAGACGAAAGAATCCAGTTGCAGACATTGACAATTTTGGCATTTCTGGGGGTACGGAAATCAAGGGCCTTGACTGGGTGGCAAACAGCTACGTAGCGATCCACACTCATGGTGCAGAGCGTAAAGATACTGGTGAACATATTGTAGTAGTCTATGGATATAACAATCTTACAAAGGATCGTACCAAATGGCCATGTTCCCATCAAGTAATTCACACTCTGGAATGGCAAAGTACTTGTTGCTAGTGCATCTGCCAATGCAAGATTGAAAATATAGATATTGGTGGCAGTCTTCATTTTTGTGTATCTAGAAAAAAAAAAAATCAGCAAAGAAAGTGAATGATTACAACTAACAACATTAAACAATATTGAGGCCAGTGCACCATCTACAAGTTACTTTCATGAAATAACATGCTAAATGGTATTAAGGATCATCTCTTCTACTGTTCACCTTTAAATCAAATTATCTTGCTCTGGTTTATCTACAATAATGTTTATAAATCAGTCAGACATTACCTAACAGGTCTGAGAAGGATAAGAAAACACAAAATTAATTTGTGCAGAAAGGACATACATAGAAGAAACAATATTATGATTGCTAAAGAGCCACTAGCGGAGCTGGAAAAAAACGTTTGTACACACTGGTCACTGTACTAAATGAATAGATTTTGTGTATCTTCTTATGACATGTCAAGAATCAGAACTGTAGTCTACAGCAATGGAGCACAGCATTTCTTGGTTGTGGAGTAGTAATGATGTAATTACTTATTGTATAAGCATGAAAATTCAGGCTTTTGTTTTAAGACTAACTTATCTGCTTGTAATCAAATAATTTAAAAATAATTTGTTATGATGCTTACTACTATTATGGTTACTGCTATTACTGATCTCAGGGTCCTCTACAAATTGGATGGATATTCCAACTGAATGAGAAGATAGATGCTATTGACCACATGAACTAAGCATATCAGTAAAATCACCAGCCCTGTGTGGATGCTCAGACCCGTTGCTTAAAGTAGGTATGCATGCACTGCTCTGCTCCACAGTGTCGATTTTGACAGGTCAGACTTCAAACTATTTTAAACTCCATTCCTTTCTGAAGTCTGTGGCACTAACACAAAAAACACTTTCTGAACTTTAAATATGCCACACCAATCACAGCTGAGCAGGGAAACTTTTTATGCTCTGTGTTTGCATTCCTAAAATTATGGAATTAAAATTATTCCTTTGTTTCATCCATTTTTTCTTTTCAAGAGCCCTTTACAATTTCAATCCTTTGGTCACATCAGTAGCACCTGACATCCACTATTTGTGAGGATGATATATTTTCCAGTGGCACAATGAACATTTCATTCCAAGTAATCACTCCTGGCTAGTTTGTCTCAATTGCTGCTGAGGTTGCTAGGCACTGAGGCCAGAATTTGTGAGGTTAGATGGTCTGCTCTTTTGATGAAATTCCCCTTTGATTCAGCAAAGTAACAAGTACAATATTTGATCAGACATTTTACATTGTATAGACAGATTTGCAAGTGGAAAAGTCCTTTAAAAAGACCTTTTGGGCAATCTGTTGGAGAAGACAAAGTGTAAAATACAGTATTTAATGTTTTTTTTTCTCTCTCTAATCTCTTCAGAACACGAGTCAGCTGCAAAGAGCTCATGACAGGGCTACAAATGGAGCACATCTTTGGAACTTTTTGTCAGGGCTGGAGGAATGCAGATTTCATCCTGAATGCAACTAGATAACTTTTATGATGAACATCTGATGAAGTTCATGCTGTTTTTGTTCTCTCATCTCATTGCACTGTGCATGAGGATACAAATAACAAGCAAGGTGTTCTTTTAAACATTTTTCGAGTAGACCCGAGCTGCTACTTGACTGCTGTGTTGAGAACTATGATCTTCCAAGTTTTAAATAAAATCTATTCTTTGAAGTTAATGTACCCTGCAAACTTTTCTTAGGGGAGTACTCCCTTTATCCAACAGACTGTAACAGCAATTCAGGAAGACATAGTTGCCACAAGCATCTGTGCCTCTATCTGCTGGGACTACTTTAGAAAAAAAATGCAAAGGATTGCAGTGCGGGAGAGGCACAGTGAATTGCAGCTCTAAAAGCAATTTAGGAAGGCAGAGAAAATATTTGGTGGGCAATTTGTAGAAGAACCTTGGAGAGGATAATGAAAATAGGAATATTTCAATAGTGACTTTACTAAGGACAAAAAAAAAAAAGATGCACTAAATCCTCTGTTATCTTTCTTGCTGTTTATCAAAAATGAATGTGTTCTTTACAGGTCTTACAACAGTTCCTAGACTAGCTAACACTCCATCCAGAGAGTAAACTTGGATGTTTGATGCCAGTGTGAGCAGACACGCACAGCTTGCTCCAGCCTGATTGGCTCAGGCAGCAATAGCAATGATGGCTGAGGAGTGACAATGGCTCTGAACCCTCAGAAGACAAGAAAAGATGCAGACTCAGCACCGTCACCCATGCTACTGGACCATTCTCAGCTCTGTAGTGATCACTGTCTTCATGACTGGAGAAGAATATACAAGCTTAGGTATGCAGCTCAATATCACTGCCATTGTATCTGATTCCGTAGAAATTCTGTCTAGAAAGCACATCATCATCAACTCATCATAATGATTTTTTATCTGCAAGTAAAGCCATTCCAATGCTTGACATAGCTAAAAAAAAAAAAACAAAAAAAACCAACAACATCAGCTGATATAGGTAAATCACTTTTGGTTTAGCGTGCTAGAGGAAGGGCAGAGAAAAGCTCTGAATAAATGGCATAGCATTTCTTCGCTGATACTACCATGGGCTCCACTTAATGCTACACAAATTTAAGCTTAAAAGTTATTGGGCTTTCCATTATTTCACATAGTAATTTCACATAATAGGCTCTGGAGACTATTAATGAAGAATCCTGCTTGATTTACTCTTGTAACCTACGTATTTATAATCATGCTCTTCTTACAAAGAAAGGAAGTAGAACTTTTGTGGTGCTAGAAAGTATTTACCTCCACAATTGCTTCATGAACAAAACCCTATTGAAATTCACAATATTGTTTTCAGTGACTTTTATGGGATATGGGTATTTCTCTGTACTGAGTATTTCAAGATTTTATAGACATTATTGCTAAAAAGTACATTTTGTTGAAGGTGTATTTCCTCAAATAAGTAGATTATCAGTGTCACTTGGATTGTTTTCTTTTGTATGAGAAAATAAATATTGACAGAACTGATTTTAACAGCATGAAAAATAACAGTCCTGAAAATGAAGCTCTTCAAAGTCTTTATCTTAGCTTTTATTTTACCTTTTGCTAAGTTATCAGTCTATCTATTTGAAGAAGCAGAGCAAATATTTCCATCATACGAACACAGCTGTGTATGTGATGAAATATACTTCAGGGAGACTGGATATTCTATGCAACTGATGTCATGGGCTACTTGTAAAACTTTCTTATAATACCAAAAGCACTGTGTGTATAAATACAATATTTTAATGGTTACTGCTTTTGCAGTGCTATTCAAGGCCACCAGACAGAGTGGTGAACATTTACCTCTGGATTGCTCTTAATATTAAAATTAATTATGCTCATCATAATTCAAATACCCACTAGCACACTTTTTCTATCTTGTCAGAGTAGACTTTGTATCATAAAATACTGATTTTTATTAAGTTTCTTTTTTTAAAATATATGTTATGATAGGTTAGATTCACAGCTTCAAGTCTGTCTAATTTTGTAGGTCATACTCAGCCTTGCCTTATCACTGCTCTATCCAGCAAAGATTTAAAATATATCTGAAGTTTGAAGATTTGAGCTGTAGAGATCCATTCAACTGGAATTTGCTTGCAGTAAGAAGAAAGCAATAAGGAAAAGTATGAGAATTCTACTGAAATAGTCACTAAGTTCCTGACATTCAAGGATACGTAAGAGCCTTAGACTGGTAGGCCATGGGCCAGCTGTCGTTTGCAAACCCATCAAAAAACCCATAAAACTAGAATTATTGAACTATAGAACATAAAAAGACCCTGCCTCAATTGCAGAAAGTGTAATAGCACCTCATAGCAGGGGCCATGAGCATCTCCCTGTCCAGCTCCCAGACACACCAGAGGAAAATGATGTGTGTATCCTTGTGCTTCTCCCTCTTGCTTCAAGACACACCACAGCTCTGTTTCTGTCTTGCCCACTCCAACAGTGACGTCTTCAGCTGATCACCTTTGGAGGTGATTGATTTTTTGAAAAGTGTTTTAAGCCTCAATAGCTCAAAAGAAAAGAACAAATAACATGACTCACATTTTCTTAAAAGGAAAACCAAACAACGCATGACATTTTTAGTACACAGTATGCTTTTTCTAAGCCTAACAGATACTTTGCTGATATACTGCTATCTGACTCTTGTTCATACCACTTAATGGAGAAGCCATTTACATCCATATGGAATGATGAAATATATTCTCTTCCAGATCTTTCAGTCCTGTAACACATCAGTCTTACACCATCTTTGTACCATCTTTGGTGCAAAGAAGGTAGAGACAGAGTTCACATTTAGCCCAATGAGTAGAGCAATACATGCCATTACAAATTCATTTGAAAACAGTGAGAAGCAGAAACAGTCTTTTGTACTTAGGAGATAGGTGGGACAATGATAGATTGGTAACAATGATTTTCAGTAACACAAAGGCATACAAGCTTTTATTCATCCAAAGAAGCTAATTGGAAGACAAAAGCTGCTTCAATTGATCTATGTACAGTGCAAAATATCTGAAAAACTAGTTAATTACAGGAGATTTATTGCAGAAAGCAGTCATTCATGAATCTGTTTTGGCTGCTCAAAGAAACAATGTCCAGCAATTAGGTCTTGCATTCAGACAACCTGACATAATTCTTGTTGATTCTGGATGAGATTAGCTTAGCGTTTAAATTCATATTCTTCTTGCATAAATGACTTGTTAAACAAATGAAGAATCATTGTGTGCATGCATTAGATTTGTTGAGGTCTCCTTGGGTGGAAAGATTAAAACATGTGAAGCATGACTAGTTGAACCAATTTAAATGAACATTTATTTCCATGGTTCTTCAGGTACATTTTCTATATGCAATCACCAAAAACAGTAAGAAAAACAGATTTTTCATGTGTGCTTTCATAAGACATCTAGTACTTTCAGTTTTCATTGAGCCCTTTAAGCTCTGACAACAGTTCAGGCTAGTATGGTTAACTCTTTCTTCCCTCTATTAATCCAATGAGTATGTTTGACTCCCTGCCATAACTTGGAACGTACATTTGGTCTCAAGTAACAGAAC